ATCTCCCCCAAACTTAACTCCCAACCAATGTGGGACTTTGGCATTTTGCCAAACTTCAACATTTACAACTCTTTAGCTTTTCCTTATCCTTAATAGAAAGAGAGATTCAGGAATGGTTGTCTCTAAATTGGCAAAATATGAGAGTAGTATTGGGGCTGCACTTATCTTGCATCCTGGTCCTATTACAGTTGATGAGATAAATGGTAAATTACTCATCTTCCATGACTTTTAGAGCTGATAAATAATGTTGTATTTTCCAGAGGCAAAAGTTCCAACTGCAATATTAGCAGCTGAGCATGACCATATATTTCCGCCTGACCAAGCGAAGCAGCTAGGCGATGCTTTATCTGCAAAATCCGAGGTAATGTGGTATCTCTTAAAGCATTTAGGTTTGTTAAATGGCAATAAATTAACTACATTACAATAAAGAATGGTAGAATTGGATAATTTGTCATTAGCATTGTCCCATTGATATAGTTTAATATCAAAAAAGGATGAAGTATATATATATTGAAATCATCTGTATTTTCTAAAGGGAAACTAACTTTTCTTTTTTATGTAAAACTGTTACCCCTGTGCAGATTGAGAGCTTTGTGAAGATATTTCCTGGAGTTCAACATGGATGGACAGTTCGATACAATGTTGAGGATGAATTGGCTGTCAAAGCTGCAGAAGAGTCTCACTCAGATATGTTAAACTGGTTTATCAAGTGAACAAGAAAGAACTAGAATTGAAACATCATTTTCAGGAAAGGAGATTGCAATAGTTCCTCAAGTAAATTGAGAATATGTAAAGTACACTGCATTTGCTGATATGCAATGCAATGAAATAAGGATCATGTTTTTTAGGTTTTAACTTATGATGCATGTTTCTCTCAAACCCGCTTTTATGTGATCTAACATTATGCGCTTGTCCCACAACATCCCTTAGAGAAAGAGTCAAACGGCGGACATTAAATATATAGGAGAAATGAAGATTTATTAATGCAGAATAAATAGACTCGCTTTTCCTGTTAAGAATAGGTACCCGTTTTCTTGTTTCTGTTTCAATTGTATTCTATCTCATCATATTATATTTTGTTTTGCAAGATTAGAAAATCAAAATTCACATAATCGATATCTTTTAAAAGCTTTTGAAAAAAGCATGCCTCTTTAAATTAGTTGAAAAGTGCTTTTACTAATTGGAATGCAACATTGAAAATTTAAGCCTGAGGAATCTTTATTCAGGACATCTACATGGACACTGACAACTTGAAGAAATGAGCATATCAAAATGACTTAAGCAGAAGATCTTCTGTTATGCAACTTTACACAGTTTTACTTATTGGAGTTATCTAATGATATCTTTTAAACTTGTACTAGTCAACCTAAACTTTGATTTCGTTCACCTTTGATATGACTCATTGATTTCAAGGCATTTATTAGACAAACCAGCAATTTACATGTTAAGTCTCCTTTATTCAACCAATCTCATTAATTAAGTGAGACTACAGTCAAAACACTGATCATCATTACTCAAAATTGAAATTCTTTGAAACTATCCTTCTTGAGTTTAGGGGACCTTCTGGCAAGGTAAAGTTGTTTCTATAGATTACATGAGGTTCCAGCCGTAGAATTACCCGCTGATGTTTATGTTATTGTAGGTTGCCTTACATTATACTCCGTTGGAGTGTGACCCTTCGCAGATCCTGCATGAACATGAAATATTTCGTACATTATACTCTAGCTAGAAAAATAAAAGAAACGAGCAAAGATGAAAAAGTTGAAAAAAAAATAAAATTCTTTCTTTTTCTATTGTGCAAAATAGAAAATCACAGAAAAACAGCAAAACTGTATAGGGTAAATTTGGTTCACATTAAATACTCGAATGATAGAGTGACACGTGAAACCGGAGGCAGACGGAAGACGAAGCGAGTGGACACCAAAGACTGAGGACAACAACTTTGGTTGGCATCAGGTAGACTCTGAAGGGAACATTATCAACAAGAGCAAGCAAATATTTGTCACCAGATGATATTCAATGAAGAACATTCCTCAGTATTAAATACACATCCATTACAGTAAATTTTGGCATTCATGAACTGCCATTACATATTCATCAATGCCCCCCATTATTATCATTTAAGAGGGGCTTGATCCTAGGATCTTGTTCCCTAGGTATAGCTATAATTAGTGACTTCAACATCCATTGTAAGACACGAAAATTCTGACAAACTTATGCTACATACTACTCCAAGCTGAATAATACTTTATTTTCTATCTAACATTATTCTTATTGCTGCCTTTCGGAAGTTTTGCTTCCGGAACCAAGTTGCCTGCTATTTTATCTTGATTTCAACGCTACATCTTGTATTTTATTTAATTTGTTTATCATTTTGGGATCAAATCGATTCGTTTGTCTATAAATCACGCTATAAATTCAACTGTACCGTTTTAGGAGTAAACAGTTTGGCGCCCACCGTGGGGCTTAGACAACTGCATAATTGAGTTGATCCTTGCATCTATTACTAACATGTTTGATTCTTTGTTTCTTAGCAAAAAAAATTGTAAAAGATGGCAGCTAACGATGTCAACATCGCACACAATGTTGAGGCACAAAAAACCTGCCTCAACACGAGTATTCGATCAGTGACACCCGCAATGAGGAGGACGTAGCAATGTCGGCTCATGGCGGGCGATATCCCCGACACGTATGGGAGCCGACTCCTAATTATGATGAGGACGAGCACGTTGCAGAAACGGTGAGGATCCTGAGAGAACATCAAAGTGCCATAATGGGCCATCTCTCATGGCAAGACCATGCCATGACAGAACCAAGTCAGGCATTGTCGGGTGCTTCCAACAACACGAATGGAAGAGGCCAGTTTCTCCCGGTGCTCCCATAAATCAAACAGCGCAAAGGGTTGATAACAACACCCCAAGGGGTGAGGTCGGCTTCAGCAGGGCAGGGGATTAGCAGTGGATCTGGTAACAACAACATCAATGATCTCTTAAAAACCAAGCTCATGCGGTTTATAAGGGAAATAACGCTCAAGTATACCAAATTCCGGGTACACCACCAGTGTCGAAGGGCCCAAACTCAAAGAAATACACTCAGTTACCATTTAAACCAAGTGCATCACCAGAGTTGATTCCGATGCAGTTCAAAACGTCAGATATACCAAAATATGATGGGACTTCGGACCCTCAGGAGCACATTATAACCTATACAACGACGTTGAAAGGAAACGACTTGGCTCAACATGAGATCGAGTCGGTCCTATTGAAGAAGTTTGGAGAAGCCCTTACAAAGGAGGCCCTAACATGGTACTCACTCTTACCCGAATACTCAATAGATTCCTTTGAGATGCTCGCAGACTCTTTCATCAAGGCCTATGCCAGGAAGGTCCATGCCCGGAAGGCGGACATATTTAGAATTTTTGCCTCTGGTTTCAAAAAGAAAAGATGTTGTTACTGTTCGTGCCACATAGACAGCTGAGGCATTTACTAAAGGTTTGAACCCGAGGAGCTCTGATGCCTCCCAAAAACTAAAAGAAAGCCTCAAGTTCAAGGCAACAACATGGGCAGATGTCCATAACCGTTATGAATCAAATATAATAATAGAAGATGATCAGCTCGGGTTCCCAGCATCAACTATGGGTCGGGATTGAGAAAAGTACAGGGATAAATCGAAGGATGATTTTGATGCAGATCGGAGATCTTTTAAGGTAGGTTTTTGACCTAGGAAAGGGCCGAAGGACGCGATAGCAGAGGTTTCCGGTCAGCGGATAGGTTCCCTCTTGGTAGAAGAACTGACTGCGGCCGAAATAACAGGGTACTGCAAGACAAATAGGTATCAGTTTCTCGGGATTCCACTTATCCCAGATTATTGAGGTATAATTTCAATGTCAGTATAGTGAAGCTGGTCTCGACAATGAGAAATATCAAGGAAGCACGATTCTCGATGCCAATGAGGTCCGATTCCAGCCAAAGGGATCCTAATTTATGGTGCGAATATCATGAGACTCATGGCCACCGGACTAGGGACTGCCAACATCTGCGTGAGGAGGTAGCAATGTTGTTAAAAAAACTGCCATCTAAGAGAATTATTAAGTAACCGGGCTAAGAACAATTACAGCCGTAACCGAAATAATGGAGAGCCCTCAAAGGCAGGGGAAGACCCTCCCCGACTAACCATCAACATAATTTTTGGGGGAAACGAGATCAACGATGTAACCTTTTTGGCAGCAAAAAAGACAAAGGTATCGGTGACTCATAGCAAGAGACTCCGGGAAGTCTCCAAGGAAGACATCACCTTCACAAAAGAAGATGCCAATGGACTTTTGTTGCCTCAAAACGATGCCCTGATAATTTATCTTAACGTTCTAGATTTTAAAATTAAACGTGTTTTGGTGGACCTAAGATGTTCAGCCAACATCATTCAATATAAAGTGCTGGAACAAGCAAAACTTACTAGAAGCATCATTCCGACAGCAAAACTCCTCGTCGGTTTCAACTTAGTAAGTGTAACGACCCGGGGAGAGATCCTGCTTCCCACTAACACCGAAGGGGTCATGGAGACTACCTTGTTTGAAGTAGTACACGGTGATATGGGCAACAACATAACTCTTGGCAGACCTTGTCTACACGAGATGAACATCGTACCATCAACATATCACCAACGTCTAAAATTCCCAACTCTAGAGGGAATCAAACAAATAAGAGGAGATCAACCGACAGTAAGGGAGATGAACGCGGTCTCGGTTTCTAGCAGTAGAGGGAAGGAACATGTGGCATAGAAATTATAGGAACTGATGGCTTCTCCTAAACCCAATGAAGATGCCAAAGGGGAGGAGCCATCGAAATCCCATCAGGTACCAAGATATTTCCAGGTACCAGAAGAAACGGACACGACCAAGTCCAAGACGAAAGAGCTCAAACAAGTGGCATTGTTCGAGAAGTTTCTAGAGAGGAAGTTTTACTTGGGGACATGACTAAACCCCAAGGTCAGGTCAAGATTTATTGAATTCCTTAAAAAAAACTAACATTGATTGTTTTGCATGGTCATACGCAGATATATAGGTATCCCAATATAGGTGACCATGCACAAGCTAAGTCTGGTCCCAAGCATCTCGTCGGTAAGGCAAATGAAGTCCCCAAGAGGTCCAAAACAGGTTTGTTAAAAAAGAGGTAACTCGATTGCTCGACATCGGTTCAATCCGGGAGGTAAAGTATCCCGACTGGCTAGCTAACATAGTAGTAGTTTCGAAAAAGAAAAATAAATTCCGTATGTGCGTAAATTATAATAATTTGAATAAGGCGTGCCCAAAAGACTTGTTCCCCCTATCAAACATTAATCAAATGATTGATCTGACGGCCGTACACGAGTTAATGAGTTTCCTCGATGCCGATTCCGGGTACAACCAAATAAAGATGAACCCGAAGGATCAGGAAAAAACTACGTTCATAACAAACTTTGGCACATATGCTATAATGTGATGCCCTTAGAGCTTAAAAATGTCGGAGCCACTTATTACCTCTACCCCGAAAGGTAGAGAGGTTGTTTCCAGGAGACCCTCAGCTCAAAAAAGCAATAGGAGATGATATATTAGTACCATAAAAATGCATAATAAAAATAACAACAATATATAAGAGATATGAAATATGAAATACAGAATATGAAATACGAAATACGAAATATATGGCTGGTATAGTACAACTAGACCTCTGTTAATATCAAAATTGGAGGAGGCGAACAATTGATAATATCTTAATGGTCTCGGAGGTATTAGTAAGTGTCGTTCTAGTCCGGGAGGATGAAGGACGTAATCTCCTATCTATTATGTTAGCAAAATTTTATCGAGAGAGGAAACTCGTTATCCGAAGCTCGAAAAACTGGCCTTACTCTCGTAGTCTCCACTCGAAAGCTTAG